ACAGGGGCTTGTGCACCTCCAGGTATGACAGGGGCATGTGCACCTTCAGGTATGACAGAGGCTTGTGCACCACCATGTACTACAGGGGCTTGTCCACCTCCAGGTATGACATAGGCTTGTGCACCACCAGGTATGACAGGGGCTTGTGCACCTCCAGGTATGACAGAGGCTTGTGTACACCAGGTATGACAGGGGCTTGTGTACCACCAGGTATGACAGGGGCTTGTGCACCTCCAGGTATGACAGGGGCTTGTGCACCTCCAGGTATGACAGAGACTTGTACACATCCAGGTATGACAGGGGCTTGTGCACCTCCAGGTATGACAGGGGCTTGTGCACATTCAGGTATGACAGGGGCTTGTGCACCTCCAGGTATGACAGGGGCTTGTGCACCTCCAGGTATGACAGAGGCTTGTGCACCTCCAGGTATAAAAGGGGCTTGTGCACCTCTTGGTATGACAGGGGCTTGTGCACCACCAGGTATGACAGAGGCTTGTGCACCTCCAGGTATGACAGGGGCTTGTGCACCTCCAGGTATGACAGGGGCTTGTGCACCTCCAGGTATGACAGGGGCTTGTGCACCTCCAGGTATGACAGGGGCTTGTGCACCTCCCGGTATGACAGAGGCTTGTGCACCTCCAGGTATGACAGAGGCTTGTGCATCTCTTTGTATGACAGGGGCTTGTACACCTCCAGGTATGACAGAGACTTGTACACATCCAGGTATGACAGGGGCTTGTGCACCTCCAGGTATGACAGGGGCTTGTGCACATTCAGGTATGACAGGGGCTTGTGCACCTCCAGGTATGACAGGGGCTTGTGCACCTCCAGGTATGACAGAGTCTTGTTCACATCCAGGTATGACAGGGGCTTGTGCACCTCCAGGTATGACAGGGGCTTGTGCACCTCCACGTATGACAGGGGCTTGTGTACCTCCAGGTATGACAGAAGCTTGTGCACATCCAGGTATGACAGGGGCTTGTGCACCTCCAGCCATGACAGGGGCTTGTGCACATCCAGGTATGACAGGGGCTTGTGCACCTCCAGGTATGACAGAGGCTTGTGCACATCCAGGTATGACAGAGGCTTGTGCACATCCAGGTATGACAGGGGCTTGTGCACCTGCAGCCATGACAGGGGCTTGTGCACATCCAGGTATGACAGGGGCTTGTGCACCTCCAGGTATGACAGAGGCTTGTGCACATCCAGGTATGACAGAGGCTTGTGCACATCCAGGTATGACAGGGGCTTGTGCACCTCCAGGTATGACAGAGGCTTGTGCACCACCAGGTATGGCAGAGGCTTGTGCACCTCCAGGTATGACAGGGGCTTGTGCACCTCCAGGTATGACAGAGGCTTGTGCACCTCCAGGTATGACTGGGGCTTGTGCACCACTAGGTATGACAGAGGCTTGTGCACCTCCAGATGACAGGGTATGACAGCTTGTGCACCTCCAGGTATGACAGGGGCTTGTGCACCTCCAGGTACGACAGGGGCTTGTGCACCTCCAGGTATGACAGGGGCATGTGCACCTTCAGGTATGACAGAGGCTTGTGCACCACCATGTACTACAGGGGCTTGTCCACCTCCAGGTATGACAAAGGCTTGTGCACCACCAGGTATGACAGGGGCTTGTGCACCTCCAGGTATGACAGAGGCTTGTGTACAACAGGTATGACAGGGGCTTGTGTACCACCAGGTATGACAGGGGCTTGTGCACCTCCAGGTATGACAGGGGCTTGTGCACCTCCAGGTATGACAGAGACTTGTACACATCCAGGTATGACAGGGGCTTGTGCACCTCCAGGTATGACAGGGGCTTGTGCACATTCAGGTATGACAGGGGCTTGTGCACCTCCAGGTATGACAGGGGCTTGTGCACCTCCAGGTATGACAGAGTCTTGTTCACATCCAGGTATGACAGGGGCTTGTGCACCTCCAGGTATGACAGGGGCTTGTGCACCTCCACGTATGACAGGGGCTTGTGTACCTCCAGGTATGACAGAGGCTTGTGCACATCCTGGTATGACAGGGGCTTGTGCACCTCCAGGTATGACAGGGGCTTGTGGTCCTCCTGGTATGACAGGGGCTTGTGCACCTCCTGGTATGACAGGGGCTTGTGCACATCCTGGTATGACAGGGGCTTGTGCACCTCCAGGTATGACAGGGGCTTGTGCACCTCCTGGTATGACAGGGGCTTGTGCACCTCCTGGTATGACAGGGGCTTGTGCACATCCTGGTATGACAGGGGCTTGTGCACCTCCTGGTATGACAGGGGCTTGTGCACATCCTGGTATGACAGGGGCTTGTGCACCTCCAGGTATGACAGGGGCTTGTGCACCTCCAGGTATGACATGGGTGTATGGACGTCATCTGGTCGTCTCCTCTATCTGCATCAGTATTATTGACCATGTCGCGTGGTACAGTTGACTAAGGCGCGTCTGGGAACACCCATGAGCCGTGCATAGGTTCGAACCCCTTATCACGGCCTTATGGACTT